AGGGAGACACATAGGTCCCAGGGAGCCAGGAGGAGTAAGCTGGCTCCTCTCAGCACAAATGCCACATCCTCCAAGAAGGCTTTCCCACACTCTTCACACCCTTCCAGGTGTCCTTCCTCACCAGGGGTAGTAGTACCTTTTCACCCCTACCCCAGGGCCCCTACCACTGCATGCCAGGACTGCAGGACCTCCTGCCGGGGCCAGCAAGAGCTCCATGCTGACTGACACTCAGAGGAGCGTGGGCATGTGTGGGATCCCGTGTGTGTGTTGGGGGGGGTGTGCACAGGTGGGCTGGGCAGGGGGTCTCACCGCGGCCAGGTTGGTCTGCTGGTAGAAGGCCTGCCCGAAGACAGCCATGACAAAGAGGTTGATGATGAAGGAGACACTGAGAGCGAGGGTGGCCTCTGTCAAGAAGTACATGTTGGCTTCCCGGATGGCCACAAGGCTGGTCCGGTCTATCTCCCGGGACTGTAAAGGTCATAGGTCATAGGGGTTGTATGGGGGGGCAGGAGGCCAAAGCTCCTGCAGAGCAGTGTCCCCCACCTTCACACTTAATGAATTGCCTATAATCAATCCCAGCTCTTTTTGAAAGTCCCTACATGGCAGTCAGGCCTTGGTCAGCGCCACCCCCTCCCAGGTTGGGGGGGCCTCCTCAGTGCCCAAAGAAGGAGAGAACACTGCCTGGAGCTCCCCGTCCCTCAGCCCTGCCATGTCGCACACCTGCATCCTCTTCACCACCTTCTCCTTGCTGGAACAGTTTCTGCCCCAAGGTCATTGCACTGGCCATCCCGCAGCTTACAATATCTTGACCTGAAATCCTTTATCTGTTCTGCTCCTTGGCTCTCAGCTGCCATCACTCCAGGCTGAGGGTAGGCCCTGCGAGGCTAAGGGCTGAAAGGCAGGGTTGTACTGCTTCCTAGGAGGGGACATCCCTCCCTCGTGCTCACCTTGACGAGGGCCGAGTGCAGATAGATGTTGTGGGGCATGATGATGGCACCCACGATGGCCACAGCCTGCAGCAGCTCGGGCTGGCTGCACCCGGAGCATGAAGGCAGGAACAGGCCACGGAGAAGCGCCCCCTGCTCTGGCTGCGCCACCACATACTGCACAAGAGGAATGCTGTCAGGGGCAGGGATTGCCGGGGGGCGGGTCTGCCCTCCAGCAGCAGGTGGGCATGGGTGGGAAAGACCTTGGGAGGCAAAGGGAGGGGCGCAGTTCTGCCTTCTTACCTCATAGCCAAAGGTCAAGGCCATGATGGTAATGAGGAGTCCAAAAAAAGCTTCCAGCTTCCGCAGTCCTGGGGGATAGGAGGGGACAGACAGGGACCTACCGAAGTCCCTGTAACACCAGCCACCACCTCCAGTATGAGGCTCTAGGCTATGAGTGCAGGCCAAGTGCATGATAGATCTATCCCAGGTTATGGATGAAAAAAACCACATCTGAATGGCTTGGTGAGGCCACACAGCTAGAAGAGAGATGCAGAGACACCCAGGGCGGTCTGAAGTCATAGCTCTGGTTAGTGTTCCCTCCCCTGCACCTGCCAGTGCTGGGAAGTGAGGAATATACCCACCATAGTTATCCAGGAAGAGGAAAAAGAAGGTGTCCACGACGGTGATGAGGACGCCACCCCAGAGTGGAATTCTAGAACCAGAGAGCCCGGCTCAGCCTAGCCCAGTCTGGTCCAGGCACCGGAGCCCTCATGCCTTCTGCACACTAGATGGACACTGTGGAATCAGGCTTTGGCTAGCAGAGGCCCCAGGGACGTTAGCCACATGGCTGCCTCTCCAGCAGCAGCTTACATCCGAGGGGATGAACAGCATAGATCAGATACAGAAGATTACAAGTTCCCTTGGGGAGTAAGTGGGGAATGGGGGGTGGGGGAGTGTCAGTACCGTCCGGCTGAGAGCAGACTGAGCGCGATGGCTGTGCCAATGACCTCTTGCATATCAGAGCCCACGATGGCTAGCTCGATGGTCAGCCAGAGTAGGATCCGGGGCACCTAGTGTGGATTGTCTGCTGGCTCAGGGCTCCCCCTCCCCAGCCTTGCCATCCCTCGCTCTGGCCTAGGCTAAGCTAGACGTGTGAGACCTACATGTGTAGCAGAGCCTGGATTGTGTGGGAAATGCTTAGCCGAGGCTCCTGGGTGGGTGCTCATTTGTACAGCAGGTGCATCATTTTGAGGTGCTGGCCAGTGAAGGATGGTCCTGAGGGGGAGCCAGGTTGCAATGCTGTGTCTGATCTTAGAGTTAGCATTGCCTCCCCTTGCTCCTCCAGCCCTCCTAACATCTTCATTGCTTAATCCTCACATGAAATAGCTCAGAAGTATCTAGAGCTGTCATCTCCATTTTCCTAACTGGACACCGATGACAGCCAGTTACCATCATAAGCTGGTACCTCTCTATTTGTTTGTTTTGGTTTGGTTTTTGCTTGGCTAAGTAATTTCCATCACTTTTCATTTCCCTTTCTGTCCCTCTCAGTGAACTATAGCTTTGAACCTCAGTCTTTTCATCAGTCAAATGGACTTGTGTTAGTCCTAGAGGGGATGCAATGTGTTTACTGGATCATGGAGTCATGGAGACTTCAAGCACTTGCAGTACCTGCTGCTGCTTCTGGTCCAACCCTGCCCTCCCTACAGCCTGCCCTGCTCACCTTAGGGTAGTACAGGTGGCAGATCTCGCCCAGGTCCTTTCCTGTCACCACACCCAGCCGGGCGGCCAGTCTCTGGCACAGCAAGCCCAACACAGTGGCCCAGAGCAAGACCCAGAGCAGCTGTGACAAGGTAGGGAGAAAGGCTGTCAGCCAGAGGGCCAAAGGCCACCCTGGGGACCTAGGCACATGCTGGAGAGAGGGTGGAGGAGATGCCATGTGGCCTGGAGAGTCTTTGCTAGCCCATTTGAACTTTTACCCCTGCTCTCAGAGCATACCACCATGGGGAAGCACGGCAGACTGGGGTGTCCACCCATTTGATTTGGGCACCTCCTTCCCCAGGCAACCCCCCCCCCGCCCCTGCAGGCCCTGATTTGGTTACTTTGAATCCAGCCACGGCACCAGCCTGGAGGTCTGACTCGATGTTGCCCGGGTCCAGGAAGGCGATGCTCATGAGGAAGCCAGGCCCGGTGAAGACCCACAGCTTCCGCAGGCTGAATGTGCCCTAGAGGAAAGGAGAGGGGCTTGGGTAGAGTGGTGGCGGTGGCAGTAGTCTGTCTTAGTCAGCCCAGGATGGGCCCAGGGGCTGGAGGAGTCAGCTGGATTCGCTGAGTCACAGGGGCTCTGTCATCCTCAGGAGCCTGAACTTGACCTGCCCACTTTTGTGGTCCTCACGGTTCCCAAAAGGAAGCAGGGGGCTCCCAGGGCTGATCCCAGCTGGGGCAGTCTCTCCCTCCCCTTCTCAGATCACAGGCCCCCTTCTTGCTGCTTTCTTCTGGAACCCCAGCCTAGCAGTCTGTAGAACACCCTGAAAGGAGCCCTCTGGAGCCTTCCCTTTGATCACAAAGTGAATGCTTGAGGCTCCAAGTGCAGTTCACTTCAGGTCCTTTGCTCTTCCCTGGAAAACTCAGTTCTAGACAGACACCGAACACCTCTGCTAAGTGCTGGGGGCAGAAGCAGGTGGGGGCACTTGCCACTGGCTGTTGCTGTTGTTCACAGCCCAAATGGACTGGCACAGTTGCCGGGAAAACCCCTCTTCCAGTCTGTGAGGACCCAGAATATCCTGCCCACACGGAGCACCCCTCCCCTTCAGAAGCTTCCAGAATTCTCACCAGTTCCACATCAGGGTTGGGGATCTTTTCACTCAGGGGGCTCCCTCCAGGAGGTAACTGTGCTGGCCCTGGGCTCGGCAAGCTGGAGATGGAGCCATAACTCGCCTTTGGGGGATCCTTGTTACCTGCACAGGATCCCCAGAGGTGTGGTGAGTGCCTTGCCTCTTTCCCATGGCTCAGGGTTCAAGGCACGTATTCCAGTCCCCCACCTTCTAGCAAAGCAGAGAAGAAATCAAGGTCGCCGGTCCCAACCTTGGCTCCATCACCTCCCACCCCGAGCAGATGTTTCAGAGGCTATGAGGACAGTGGTTCTCACCTCTCGGGAATGTAAGAGAGGCTCTGGGCAGGACACGCTGAAGCCACCATATCTGTCCCTTGCCTCCTCCAGCAGACCAACAGGCTCCCAGGGCTCCCATCCCCAAGACCAGAGACATGCAAGCTACTCCCCACAGAGTTGTCAAGAGGCCATCCCCAGCATTCCAGGTCCTTTCCCATGAGCTGGTACTCACCCATCGTGGGTTCACAGGATCCCACACCTCTCTCGCCAAGATGGAGTGCTGAGGCAAGTGAGAGTACGCGGGGACCCACGGACCTCACCCCTCCTCGTCTGGCCACCTGTGACCTGCATCACTGACATTTGCACATTCATAGCTCAGGCTATTGGGAAACACTTGCTGAAGGCAGAAGTGGGCAGCTGCTGCGGAAGCATCCGGGCACCCACAGCATTTGTGTTTCTGGCACCCTGAGTTTGGGGATTCCTCAGCTAACTCTGATTTCCTGTCTGGATTGTATGACCCCACCCCATGTGTGTTCAGGAGCAGGCAGTTCTCTTCTACCCAGACACCCAAGGTCACTGACTGGTCTAATGGGAGAAGTGAGTCCCCAAGGGCTTCCCAGGCCTCAGATACCTATTGGAGACTCCAAGGAAGACTTTCCCAGCACTGGCACAAGGACACAGCCTTCAGGTCAAGGGCGCCCTCAGGAAGGAAGGGCCATGGACTGCTCTGTCCCCAGGTGGACTACTAAGTCAGTGGAGATTCTCAGTAGACCTTCTCTCCTCTGGGACTTTGCTCCTTCCCCAACTTCAGTGGGCCATATAATCAAATCAGGCTTCAAGGCTATATGCAATCCATCATTGACCAAAATGCAGTAATGTTTTATGTGACTGCACATGCTATTTTTAAAAAAATTTTTTTTTTAATGTAAAAGGCTTTATTTGGAGGGGGGAGGGAGATGCAGGATCTAGTCAAGCAGGCCAAACCCCATGTCATTGTCCAACTCTTCTGACTCTTTCTTCTTCTGCTTCTTCTGCTCCACTGCTTTAGGGACCATCGCGGCAGCTGGCTCCACCGCACCTGGAGCAGCAGACTCGGCCACAGTCCCACCTCTTTGCTCACTGTCCAGTTTGCTGATACCCTGAGCAACCACGTCCTTAATGTTTCTACCTTTCAGCTCGCTGAGAACCTTATTGAACCAGTCATCATCTGCGTTGATGCCCACGCTGCCCAGGATCTTTGTGATGTCCTTGGCACTTGGCAAGGCGTTGCTCCCAAGGGCAGCCAGCAGGAAGGAGGCAATGTAGTGTATAGTGGTGGCAGTGGCATTCGTGGTGGAAAGGAAGCTTTTTTAAATTAAAAAAAAAATGGGGTCAGCATTGTGGTGTAATCTGTTAAGCTGCTGCCTGAGATGCCTGCATCTCATATGGGCACCGTTCAAATGCCAGCTGCTCCACTTCCAATCCAGCTCCCTGCAGTGCACCTGGGAAAGCAGCAGAAGATTGGTCAGGTGCTTGGAACCCTGCCATCAGCATGGGAGATCCGAAAGAAGTTCCTAGCTCATGGCTTCAGCCTGGCCCAGCCTTGGCCATTGCAACCATCTGGGGAGTAAAACAGCAGATGAAAGATCTCCTTCTTTGTGTGTCTCTGTATCTCTGCCTATATTTATTTATTTGGAAGGCAGAATTACACAGGAACAAGAGAGACTTTCTGCTGTCTGGCTCACTGCCCAGATGGCTGTAACAGCCAGGGCTGGGCCAAGTTGAATTCAGCAGCCTAGAACTGCATCCAGGGCTCGCATGGGGGTGCGGGGGCCTCAACACTGGGGCCACCTTCTGTCTTCCCAAGAGCATTAGTAGAAAGCTGCATTGGAAGTGGAGCAGTGGGGACTTGAACCTGTGCTCATAGGGGATGGCATCTCAGACAATGGCTTAACATGCTGTACATTTTTAAAGACTTATTTATTTTTATTGGAGAGGCAGATCAGAGGACCCTGGGAGTTGCTTGTTATGAAAAACCTACATGGGTTGCATCAGAAGCATTGAGAGAAGGAAGCAGTTAGTTCCTTTTAAGAAGATTCTCAGTCCCAGATTTGGCATGATTTACCCCCCATACTGAGTCAAAAACTTGGGGCAGTGCTTGGCAGCCCTGCGTTGTGGAAACAATCAATTTCCTGGTTCCTCACTGATGTGGAAGACTAGTTGTGTGGGAAAAGGGTGAATGAAGGGCCTATACAAGAAACAGCAGCATGGGTTGCCACTATGCCATCCTGTTGCCCAAGGCACTGTTACCTTCTCTGCCTCTGCATCACTGCTTTGGGCTCATGTGGCGATAACTGAGGCTGTGTTTAGGCTGACTTCCTCTTTGCATCATTTCCTACTTGGGAACTTGGTGAGTAATTGAGAGCCACTGATTAATCCTCAGTGTATACAACCTTCAGCTTAAAGAGGAAGGTAGTACAGTGTAATGGCTGACACCATGGTGCCAAGTAGGTATTGAGAGCAAGGAGAGTTCTAGAAATCTACATCAGCTTCCCCTGACATGTGGGTATGTTGCTGAACATTCCATCCAGAGTCACAGTGAAATCCCACAAGTCTTACTCCATGCAATATGGTTTGCAGGCTTGCATGCAAATAAACAACTGCCAAGGTTTCAGGACACACAGACTAGAAGAAATTCTTAGAATCTACGGCTGGATAGTGAATGCTCACACTGGATGCTGAGGTGGGTGATCCACAAAGGGAAAACTCATAAATCAAACCTCAAACCCAAATAATGTTTACTCTGAAAGAGTCTTTCGCTTTTAAAACATATCTATCTATGATTTATTTCTTTGTATTGGAAAGGCAGATTTACAGAGAGAAGGAGAAAGATTTTCTGTCTGCTGGTTCACTCCCCAAGTGGCCACAATGTCCAGGAGCCAAGAGTTTCTTCTGGGTCTCCCACATGGATGCAAGGTCCTGGGGCTTTGGGCCATCTTCTAATGCCTTCTCAGGCCAGGATGGGAAGTGGATCAGCCAGGAAACAAATTGGCATCCTAATGGGATACCTGTGCTTGAAAGGCGAGGGTTTTTTTTCCCCGAAAGGCAAGGATTAGCTAATCAAGCCATTGCACTGGGCCTGAAAGAGTCTTCTAAGAGAATGAAAACACAGGAAACAAACTTGGAGAAAATATTTACAAGCCAATTATATGACAAAGGACTAGGATTCAGAAATACAAATCTCTTAAAACCAAATAGCTTAAAAAATTCAATGAGAAATGGGCAAAAATCATGAACAGGAATTTCACTAACAAAGATGAATAAATGGTAAATAACCTCATGAAAAGGTGTTCACTGGGCCTGTGATTTAGACCCAGTAGCTAAATCCTCACCTTGCAGGTGCTGGGTTCCCTTATGGGCACTGATTTGTGTCCCAGCTGCACGACGTCCCTTCCAGTTCCCTCCCTGCTGTGGCCTGGGAAAGCCACAGAGGAAAGCTCCTGCCTCCTGGCTCCAGATCAGCTCAGCTCCAGCCATTAAGGCCACTTGGGGAGTGAACCAGCAGAGGTAATATCTTTCTCTCTATCTCTTCTTTCTGTAAATCTGCCCTTCCAATAAAAATAAATACTTTTTAAAAAAGATGTTCACTCTCATTAGAAAGATATTAGGCAAATAGAAATGAAAATTATACTTAGCTTTTGATACTAACTTAGCAGAATGGAAAAAATAGTGACAACATAAAGTGTTGGCAAGGATATGGAAAAACTAGATTACTCTCAGCCTCACAGTTTGTCTTTAGAAATCAAACATGGTGGGCCTGGCACAGTAGCGTAGCAGCTAAAGTCCTTGCCTTGCATGCCCAGGATCCCATATGGGTGCCAGTTCTAATCCCAGCAACCCTGCTTCCCATCAGCTCCCTGCTTGTGGCAATCAAGGACGGCCCAAATCCTGGGATACCTGGAAGAGGCTCCTGGCTCCTGGTTCCAGATTGGCTTTGCTCTGGCCGTTGTGGCCACTTAGGGAGTAAATCATCAGACAGAAGATCTTCCTCTCTGTCTCTCCTTCTCTCTATATATATCTGACTTTCCAATTAAAAAAAAGAAAAGCTTAAAAAAATCAATCATGGGGTTGCCGTTAGATAACTACATACCCAGGCATTCTTTCCAGAAGAATGACGATTGTATTCACACCACAAGCTGTACGCCAGTGTTGACAGCAGTTTTATTTATAGTTGCCCAAACTGGAAACAACCCAGACGTTCTTCGACAGGTGAATGGCTACAGGCTTCCCCACAGCACATTCCTGGGCATCTGTCCCAGAGAAATGAAAACCCATAACTCCACCAAAGCCTCAGAGTGAATATTTAGAGCAGCTCTATTCTGGAATAGTCCAAACTGGGAATTATCTCAGATGGGCAAGTGGCTGAACAAACTGCAGTACATATCTACTGAGGAGTTCATGGCAGAGCCTGGGGGTACAGGGAGGATTGTTGTTGGGTCAGGGTAGGGTGGGAAGGAGCTGGCTGTTCTGCAGGACACGCGGGAAGAGTACCAGGTGACTACTGTCCTGTCATCAAGAGTAAAGGAGACCTCCCTCCCCACAAGAAGCTGACAGATAAAATACCCTACTAGGCTTGGTTTTCTGCAGGCCTACGCGAAGGACTTCAAGAGGAAACACCTGGACTGCTCCATCAGGTCTCCCAGATTCCCCAGGAAGTGCCGGAAGGGGAGAAGCAGAAGACCACGTGTGCCGAGAACAAGTCCAAGTTTGAAGATGACAGAATGTGATGAACTCACTGTGCCAGAAAGATGGCAAGTACTTTTCCTCTAAGGGTGACCAAAGAGGATCCTAGCAATTCAAAAAGAACATCCACTGCAGAGGGCTAGCCTGCCACTTCCAATGCCAGCATCCCAGGTTGTAATGTCAACTGGAGTCCCTTGCTGCTGGCTTGCAATCCAGCTCCCTGCTGATGCTGATGGCCCTGGAAAGGAAGTGGCTTCCTGCCCTGTCCCTCACACAGGAGACCCAGCTGGAGTCCTGGCTTCAGCCTGCTGGAGATTTGGGGAGTGAACCAGCAGATAAAACATTTCTGTCTCTCCCCATCCCCATCTCTCCACTTTTCAAAAACAAAAAGATCTTTGAATTCAAGCCCAACTCAATGTTAGCTTCTCTATAAAAGCTGTGCAGATTTTTGTTGAGCTGGTAAGATTCTACTTTTCTTTCATATGATTTATTTATGAAAGGCAGAATGATAAAGATCTTCAATCTACTGGTTTGCTGCCCAAATGGCCACAATAGCTAGGGTTGAACCAGTCTGAAGCCAAAAGCCAAGAGCTTCATTTGGGCCTCCCACATGGGTGACAGGAACCCAAGTATTTCAGCCATCATTCACTGGATTTCCAGGCTCATTAATAGGAACCTGGATTGGAAGTGGAGCAACTGGTACTTGACCCAGCACTCCAGTAGAAGATTCCAGTATAGTTTCAAGTATAGACTTAACCTATATCACCACAATACTGATCCCACTGATGAGATGCCTTCTAGAGAAAGTAGCTTTTTATTTTTTAAAAGATTTATTTATTTTTATTGCAAAGACAGATTTATTTTTATTGCAAAGAAAAAGAGAGGAGAGATACAGAGAAAGATCTTCCATCTGCTGATTCACTTGCCAGGTGGCCTCAATCCTCACTTGGAAGGTGAGGATTTAGCCACTGAGCCTTCGTGCTGGCCTCAAAATATCATTAAAAAAAAAAGTGGGCCCGGAGCAGTAGCCTAATGATTAAAGTCACTGCCTTGCATGAACTGGGATACCATATGGGCCAGTTCTAGTCCCAGCAGCCCTATTGCCCATCCAGCTCCCTGCTTATGGCCTGGGAAAGCAGTTGAGGACGGCCCGAAGCTTTGGGACCTGCTCCCGTGTAGGAGACCTAGAAGAAGCAACTGGCTCCTGGCTTTGGATCGGCTCAGCCTCCAACTGGTGCAGCCACTTGCGGACTGAATTAGCAGATGGAAGATCTTTCTCTCTGTCTCTCCTTCTCTCTGTATATCTGACTTTCCAATAAAAAGAAATAATATTTTTTAAATGCTGGCTTTTTTTGAGAGGCTTGTGGCCTGGGAAAACAGTCAAGGATGGCTCCAAGCCTTAGGACCCTGCACCTGCGTGGGAGACCCGGATAAAGCATCTGATTCCTGGCTTTGGATGGGCTCAGCTCCAGCCATTGCAGCTACCTGGGGAGTGAAACAGTGGATGAAAGATCTTTTTCCCCCTGTAACTCCTTCTCTGTGTAAATCTGATTTTCCAATGAAAAATAAATAAATCTTTAAAATAAATAAGTAATTGAGGGCAGGGGCAAAATATATCATTAAATAAATACCCTCCATAGATTACTATGCACAGCAAGGAGAAGGAATAAAGTATTGATACATAGAATAACCCAGATGAATCCTCAGGAACTCATGTAGAGTGGCAGGAAAAAGTCACTCCCAAATCTACATACATTATATTCCACATATGTAACAATATTTACCATGACAACTTCAAAGATGAAGATCAGGTTGGTGGCTGCCCACAAAAAAGGATGGGTGAGGTGGGAGTGGAGAGGAAGGTGGATGTGGTTACACACGCGTGGCTGGTGCTGTCAGCACTGTTCACCATCTTGATGGTGGATCCACAAACCACATACGGGGGCTGGTGCTGAGTCGTAGCATATGAAATTGCCATCTATGATGCTGGCTTCTCATATGGTTGCCAGTTCGAGTCCCAGCTGCTCCACTTCCCATTCCATTCCCTGCTGATGACATAAGAAAGAAGCTGAGGATGGGCCAAGTGCTAGAATCCCTATATCCATGTGGGAGATCAGGAAGAAGCTCTTCGGTCCTTGCTTCAGATCTGCCCAGTTCTGGCTGTTTTGACCATTTGGGGAGTGCACCAGCACCAGTAGAAGGCAGGTTCTCTCTCTCTGTTTCTCCTTCTCTCTCTCTCTCTGTTTCTTCTTCTCTCTCTCTCTTTGGGTCACTGGGAGGTAGTTCACTCTGAGTGGACTGATGGAAGCTGATTTCATCCCTCCCATCCTTCCTTCTCTCCCTACCTGCTGGCCCACCATGCAGTTGTTCTGCTTCATTTGCTCTGCCCTTGCCAGGCTCCACCAGAGACCAGTTTGGTGGGGTTGATCTTGAACTGGGAGCTTCTCAGCTATAGTAGGATATAAACCTCTTCCTTTCAGAGATGCTCCTTTAAAGTATCTTAGTTAAAGTGACAAAAGCTGAATAATAAGAACAGGTCAACAATATACGGGGCACATTAATGATGGAATATTACTCAACTTTCAGAAAAAGAGGAAATTCTGATGCATGTTTAATTTGGACAAAATTTGGCTACATTATGCTACCACAAAAAGCATTCATCTATACACAACAGGACGAATGTTGCATGTTTCCACTTCTATGAAGTACATAAAAGAGGCAAAGTTAGAGACAGAAAGCAGAAGGATGGGACGGAACGCAGCAAATTAGATCACTTCCTACAATATCTGGGTAAAATCTCTGCTCCTCCACTTCTTTTTTTTTTTTTTTAATATTTACTTTATTTTTATTGCAAAGTCAGATATACAGAGAGGAGGAGACAGAGAGGAAAATCTTCCGTCCGATGGTTCACTGCCCAAGCAGAAAGCCCTGAGCCAGGAGCCCCTTCAGGTCTCCCACACAGGTGCAGGGTCCCAAAGCCCTGGGCTGTCCTCGACTGCTCTCCCAGGCCACAGGCAGGGAGCTGGATGGGAAGCAGGGACGCCAGGATTAGAACCAGTGTCCATATGGGATCCCGGGCGTGTTTAAGGCGAGGACTTTAACCACTACACTATTGTGCTGGGCCCCCTGGCTCCTCTACCTCATATCCAGCTTCCTGCTAATGTGCCTGGGAAGGCAGTGGATGACTGCCCAAGTACTTAGAGCCCTGCCACTCGTGTTAGAGATTCACATGGAATTCCAGGCTTGCGTTCAGAGGCTGAAGATCCTGCCCTTTCTCTCTAATCCTTTCTCTCTGTGACTTTTTCAGATAAATTGAATAAGTAAGCTCTAATAAAAGAAAAAGAAATATATCTAACACCATGGACTTAGTTGTTACGTGAACTGTTTTTTTCAACTATTATTTTTTATTGGAAAGGCAGAGTTACAGAGACAGAAGGAGAAACAGAGCAATCTTCTATCCACAGGTGTATTCCTCTGCAAATCGCAATGGCTGCAGCTATGTTGATCTGAAGCCAGGGGTTTATTCAGGGTCTCTCATGCAGGTACAGGGGCCCAAGAACCTGAGTCAGCCTCTGCTGCTTTCCCAGGCCATAAGCAGGGACGTGGATGGGAAGTGCAGGAGTCAAGGCTTGAACTGGTACCCACATGAGACACTGGCACTGCAGGCAGAGACTTTAACCTGTTCCACCACCCTGCGCCCCCATGAACTGGGTTTCAGTTAGATGTCCAACACTCTCAGTTTGCACCCAGTGATGCTCAGGGTAGCTTAAGTCTTGGGTCTACATGTTTGTGTCCCTACAAAATTCTTAAGTGGACACCTGGATGTCCACCTTCGGTCACCTTCGGTGATAAGGTGAAGAGGCAGGGCCTATGTAATGATTGGCCATCACTCATGATTGGAGTAGTGTTGTTATCAACAGGCTACAGTAGTGCTTGTCTGTCCCTCCAGAGGACATGGGACAATCCTGCCATTGGGCCAGAGGTGAGCTAGATATTAACTCTTCCATAATACCCAACCTGCAGAACTGCGAGCCACAGGTCAGTGACGTTGACCAACCACCCAATCTGAGATGCTTCGTTCCAGCACAAAGGCAGCTACCACAGTCTCCTGCAAGGCACTGCCCAGTCCCTGAATACGTTATAGCAGGGGGCAGGCTACCAGGCAGCCTCAGCCAAGTGCAGAGGCCATCAAACAGCATGCTGCTGGGGGAAGCAGAGGTCACGTCTACACCTCCCAAGGGTGTGGCCAGCCCCAGTGTTTCCTTAACTCAAATGTCATAGTCATGAACCTGTCCCCTTAGGACTTGTCCTGAGCCCCAAAAAGCTTGCCCTGGGGGCTGGCGCCATGGAGTAGTAAGCTAAGCTTCCACCTGTGGCTTCAGGATCCCATATGAGCGCTGGTTCAGGTCCCGGCTGTCCCACTTCCCATACAGCTCTCTGCTTGTGGCCTGGGAAAGCAGTCGAGGACGGCCCAAAGCCTTGGGACCCTGCACCCACATCTCACATGGGAGACCTGGAAGAAGCTCATGACTCCTGACTTCAGATCAGATCTGCTCTGGTTGTTGCAGCCATTTGGGGAGTGAACCAGGGGCTGGAAGATCTCTCTCTACTTATCTCTCCTTCTCATTCTAAATCTGCCACCCCCTAAAAATAAACATTAAAAAAAATTTTTTTTATTGGAAAGGCAGATTTTATGGAGAGGAGAGATAAAGATCTTCTAATCTCTGGTTCACTTCCCAAGTGGTTGCAAAAACAGGAGCTGAGACAATCCAAAACCAGGAGCCAGCAGCTCCTCAGATGCAGGGGCCCAAGGCTCTGGGCCATCCTTCGCAAGAGGGCTCCCTCTGTCTCAAAACAGCAGGTGCGTCAGCCTGGCTCCTCCACTCTGTTCATCTTGTTCTGAGCCCCTCATGTTAGCTTGAGATTCCATATCTCCTCTCTATTACCTCTAGGCCTCTACAAATGTTGTTGCCTCCTCCACACCCCTGCCTGTGTCACCTCCTCCAGGAAGCCTCCCTTGGACTCTCCTAGGTCAGGGCAGGTGTCCCTAAGTAATATACTCTCCCCTGCTACCATCCAGAGGAGGCTGGTGCTTGCTGAGCTGGCAGCAGGGCATGAAGCTGCATCTAACTGCCCGGGGAAGAAAAGATGGCAAGATGAAGCCTGCTCTGGTTGAGCAGGGGCAGGAGGGTGCCTCTCCTTGGTGCTGGCATCTGCCTTGAGGGTGAATGAGCACATGAGCCAGGCTCCTCTGCAGCCCAATTCTGGTACTGCCATGAACTAGCACAGGGCCTTGGACCCCACATAGCCCACCCCACAGGGCATGTGGAGATTACAGGCGTGCTCTCCTTACCCTGTGCTTCCTATCCCTACTCTCGTATTGCATGGGGGAGGTGCCCCCTGGTGCTGTCCAGTCTATACCCACATATTCACTTGAGCAATGCAGAGACGGACAGCAGGATAGCTGGACAGAGCTCTCATTAACTGGTTCAATCCCCAAAGTTGGGGGCTGAAGGCAGGAACCAGGTATGCCACATGGGTTGCAGGGATCCAAGTATTTGAGCCCTCACCACTGCCTCCCAGGGTATGAATTTGCGGGAAGCTGGAGTTAAGAGCTGGAACTGGGGACTGAACCCAGGTGCAGTCAAGGAACTAAGCTCAGGAAGCTCCTTAGGGGGAAGTGCAGTGCTGCCCCATCAACCCCCCCCACCCCCCACTCTGCTACAGATAATCAGGGGCAGAAGGAACTCCCAGGAGTTCCCCATCCAGGTGCATTGGTTGGGTCAGTTTGGATTTTTATTGTCCGCAGGCTCCGTGGCACATGTGGGATGCTGCCCTGCCCACCTCACCAGTGGCTCCTGCCCTGTGGTGCTGTAGCCTTCCCCCAGTAAGCCCTGCACCCAGCCTATGCACCTGCTGCCCCCTCTGCTTGCAGTGCCTCCCCTCAGCTCCTCACAGGTCAACATCCTTAGCCTTTAGGTCTGAGCTCCACAGAGATCCTGTGTCCCAGCTGCTCCACTTCTGATCCAGCTCCCTGCTTATGACCTAGTGGAGGATGGTTCAAGTTCTTGGGCTCCTGCACCCACCCACGTGGGAGACCCAGAAGAACCTCTTGGCTCATAGCATCAAACTAGCCCAGCTCTGCCCATTGCAACCATTTGTGGAATAAATCTTCAAATGCAAGATTCCTCTCTCTCTTCTTCTCTCTGTAAATCTCCCTTTCAAATACAAATAAATCTTAAAAATTTAAGAACTGTTTCCATCATGGCAGGTGAACACCACTGCTTCAGGCGTGCAAGGCTAGGACTTTAGCTGCTAGGCTGCTGCGCCGGGTTCATAAGGCTTTTTAAAAATGATTTTAAAACTTCTTCAGGGCTCAGCGCTCCCCGCGGTTCTGCAGGAAGTCCCCACACTTGTATTCCTGCCCCTCGTCATGCAGGGCAGGTTCTCTGGGCAACCGCGTGCAAGCAGGGAACCTGCGCCCCTGCGGTTACCGCGGACTCATCTTACTCCTTGTGGTTGAGTCCTGCCTGGCACAATCAGCTCCCGCCGGAATGAACCAATTGAAGCCAGAAGCCCCTAGAAGGGCGAGGATGATCTACCCCGGGAGTCTGCACTATCAGGGGAAGGGGTGTGGGAGGCAGAGCACAGGAGCTGCACGGTCTATGCTGGTCCACATCTTCTCCCGCCGCCCATCCCATCGTGGGTTCATTTTGGGAATGGGAGGAGATGCTGCAGCGGGGCCAAGGACAGTTTGCAGTTTTCCTCCGTCGCCACCCCATGCCCAGCTTCACCAGCTACTCACTCTATCACAAAACTTTCCTTAACCAGCCGGGATAATGATGACAAAGGCATTTCAGGAGGAAAGGCTGTTCCTGTTTGTAGCCCCAGACAGAGGCCGTGTGCGCAGGGCACTGGGTGGATGTGGGCGCGGGAACCGAGCGCACACAGCATTCCTCCACGGCTGCGAGCGGCCGCAACCCCGCCGTGTGGAACCTAGTCAGCTTCGGGGTCGACGTCCAGCCCGGGTCCCCAGGAGCGGAAGGGGCTGGGCCGGTGTGAGGAGCGAAGGGAGGGCGGGGGCGGGCGGCTCGGGTCAAAGGGGCCGAAGAACTCAGCGGCGAAGGTAACCACGTCGCGGGGCTGACGCAGCAGCAGGAAGAGCAGGAAGTCGGAGAGGAGCGCGCGGACGTCTGGGTGCTGCCGCAGGTAGCTGCTGTGGCTGGTCCGCAGCTCCTCCTGCGGGAGGCAGACCTGGCCTGAGCGCCCCGGGAGGAACCACCAGCTGCCCCAATCCCCGGGTCACCCCAAGGAGGCGTGGTTCCCGGCCGGACCCGCGAGCAGGTGTGCCCGTTCACGCGGAGCCGCCGGGACCCGGGGTTGTCGGTGACCGCAGCCCACCTTACGGTGCAGGAATTTGGAATGGAGCTCCAAGTCTTCCTCCCACACCAGTGGCTTCTTCTCGAAAACCGGCGGCGGCTCAATCTCGTCTGGATGGGGAGAGGGAAAGAGTGCGTGTCTCCCACCGCAGAACCATCGGGGGACGCGCAGATGCATCCCCGGAAGCCCAGCATTCTGTCTGCGGGGCGTGGTGGCCAAGTCCTTGGGAAAGATCAGCCCCGCCCCTGCATCCCAGAGGGCCCTACCTCCCGGGGACTTTCACTCACCCTCCTCCCTCAAGACAGGCATCTTGGTGATGATGCAGCAGCCGGGCGAGCCTATCTGGACTCTCTTGGCCAGGTGCCTGAGTGCAACACAGGTAAGAAAGAACCCTCCTGGGCCACCTGTTAGGTCTGAACTCTGCCCTCCCCCTCTGGAGCTTGTAGCTGTAAGCCAGTGTGGTGGCATTTGGTGATGGTGTCTCTGGGGAGGCAATCAAAGCCAAACGAGGTCCTATGGATGGAGCAATAGGTAGAAGTGGGGTCTTTATAAAAGGAAGAGGAGCCGGTGTGTTAGCTCGGTTGACTAATCCACCCCAAGTGTCACATTCCATATGGGCACCAGTTCGTGCCCCGGCTGTTCCACTTCCCATCCAGCTTTCTGCTTATGGCCTGGGAAAGCAGTAGTGGATGGCCCAAAGCCTTGGGACCCTGCATCCGTACAGGAGACCCAGAGGAAGCTCCGAGCTCCTGGCTTTGGTTCAGCTCAGCTCCAGCTGTTGCAGCCACTTGAGGAGTGAACCAGCAGATGAAGGATCTTTGTTTCTGTAAATCTGCTTTTGCAATAAAAATAAATCTTTAAGTAAAATAAAAGGAAGAGATGGGGGCGTGCCGTGTGGCAGAGCCAGTTAAAACACTGCCTACATTCCATATGGACACCAGTTCGAGTCCTGGCTGCTCTATCTCCAATCCAGATTCCTGCTAATGTGCCAGAGAGTGCAGCAAAAGATGCCCCAAGTGCTTGGGCCCCTGTACCCACGTGGCAGACCCGGAAGAATCTCCTGGGTTCAACCTAGCCCAGCTTCAGTTGTTGATCTCTCCCTCTCTCTATCTCTACCTTTCAAATATATAAACTAAATCTTTGAAATATATATATATATATATGCCTGACAGAGCTGGCTGTTTCCATGACACAGAAGGAAGGTGAGAGAGGAGGACGCAGTGAGAAGGTTCCTGGCATTCATTCCTAGGTGCTGGAGAATGGGACAGGCTTCCCTCAGGGCTTTTGCTTTTTCATTTTGTTTAAGGACAATTTTAGATGTGTGAATGATTTTTCTAAGAAATCATAGATATTGGTGTTTTGCCTGGCAGCTGAGGTGCTTGTGTCCCAAATCCGAATGCCTTCTCTGGTTCCCTATTCCCAGCTTCTGCTGCCAGGGTCCTGGGCTCCAGTTGGCTTCCAGCTGGGGGAGCCAAGTGGAGTTCCCAGCTCTTAGTTTAGGCTTATGGGGAGTGAACCAGAAGGGGCAAGTTCTCATTCTTCATCCCCATCTCTGGGTCTCTCCAAATAAATAAATAAATAAATAAATAAATAATTTATGGTACCATAAACGATGCCATGCGATGTTAGACTAGAAACATGCTGAGCTATGAAATCAAGAAAGCCAACAATGACAGAGTGATGACCAGCTTGGTGCCTGCACTCTTCTGAAGTTTCAGGAAATTTATTGTTCTCCCCCGCCACCTCTACCCCCACACCCACATTTTTTCATGATTAGGTGCCAGGGTGCTGCAGAAAACAACTGGGTAGTGTGCCCAGGGGACAGTGTGGACAGTCAAGGGGCTATTTGGATCTTACTGGTTACCCTTCCTGGCAGCATCCACTAGGGAACCGGGCTGCATCGTGGAACACCTGTGCGCATGCTCCCTCCTGGTCAGACCCCCCATCCATGATCCAAGTCGCTCACCCATCGGAAAGCAGGTAGAACTGCCAGGCCATGGGGATGCCCTCTTCCGAGTGCACCGTCTGCTCCACAATGAACACAGGGGCCTGCTGCCAGCCCACCTGGATCGTCTGGAAGCCCAGGGATTGCTGGCTCCAGCCAAGGGAGAGGGAAGGAGGGAGGGAGGGAGAGCGGTGGTGAGATGAAAGCCCTCCTTCCCTCCCCCTCCCACATTCCTCTCCTTAAATTCCCTGTCCCTTAGTGCTTAACAGTTCGAGGATGTCCAGGAGCTGCAAGATTTGAGTGGCACCCCCCAAGTTGGGGACCCCATTATGGGAGGCCAGCCTAGCAGTTTGCTCCTGATCCAGTCTCCCACCATGTCATCTTGTGGTGCTTTCAGTTGGCAGATTCTGTTACAGTGATGATGACAGTGTTACAGTGGGGAGGGGTGTGTCGCAGGGCATGGGCTGTTGGGGGCAACTTGGGAATGGAAGGTAGCAGGTGATGGCTGTAGCTTGTGCTGCCATTGGCAGTCAGCCTTGCCAGGAAAGTGTTACCCCTGTCCACTGCCCGCTGTGTTGTGAGAGCAAGATCAGAACGTAATTCACAAGGTTGGTCAGTGACAGATAAAGTGGTCCCCAAAGTGTCATGATGGGAGAAAGTGTGTGTTCAGGGACACAGTCCCAGAATTGTTTTTAGAATGGCAAGTCCTAGGCACGGGGGGGGGGGTAGAAAATTGTTACAAAACAAAAAGAAAAACTGGGGGCCAGTGTTGTGGTGTAATAGGCTAATCCTCTGCTGGTTGCTGCTGGCATCCCACTGCTCCACTTCCCATCCAGCTCCCTGCTTATGGCCTAGGAAGGCCCCCCCCTGAGAATGGCAGAAGTCCTTGGGCCCCCGCACCCATGTGGGAGACCCTGAAGAAACTCCAGGTTCCTAGCTTCAGATAGGCTCCGCTCTGTCCATTGCAGCCATTTGAGGAGTGAACCAGCAGATGGAAGATTTCTCTGTCTCTTTTTCTCTTTCTGTAAATCTGCCTTTCAAATAATATTTTTTTTTTCCAAAAGAAAAGGAACACCCTTTAGTGTTGAGAAGTAGTAAGAAAATGTTGAAGTGCAATTGATTGCATTTCCTGAGGGTAAAAAGTAATGTTTCCTTAAAAGCAGCCCACTGATGCTAGTGTTTTCTAGAAATTTATGCAAACAAGGGTTGCTTCCACCTTCTGGCCCCCCGGCTCTGATAAGTTCCGTTCTGGCTTCTTCCTTCCCCTGGGCTCCTCTCCCACTCCACAGCTGTTGTCTTTCTCTCCCAGCCCAACCCCGGGGACACGGCTCACATAGGTGGAGTGACACAGCTTGCCCTCGGTGTCCAGGGCCAGGAAGCAAGCATTGCTGGGCACCTTCTGGCGCCGTGCCATCGCCCGCAGCAGTACCAGGTTGGCAGCCTCAGAGACAAAGCCCTCCATTGAGGCCCAGGGGAAAGCGGTCACCCCTGACTTCACTTCCTGTGTAGGACAGACAAGGTCTGAGAGCTGGGAGCCAGGCAGGGGCAAGGCAGGATGGGTTACCCTAGAGGAACCCTCGCACACACACCACCACCCACCCCCATCCCAGCCAACCCCCACCTGCTCATGGCTCCAGGAGGATGTGGCATCCCCCTCCTCACCTCACCCTCCTTGACACTTCGGGTCATGCTTAGCTGCTCATCTTGCCTCAGCAGATTGGTTGTCTGTTCCATGGGCAGGATGAGGAACTAAAGGAGTGGAGCATGTGGGGGGGCTGTCAGGGGCTCTTCTTCCTAGGCCCCCTCCCCCATAGGCCCACTTGAAAACCCACCTGAGAAAATCAGGCCATTTCAAGATTAGGATTGAAACCGCCATCTCCCCACCAAAAAAAAAAAAAAAAACAAAAACCGATATTTCCCCCAACCTTCCATTCACAGAAAACTCCTACTGTGTGGGACTCAGAGCCTCAGAGTCTTTGCCTCTGTGGATGACGCATTCTAAAAGTTGAATGAAATGGAAGTGACTGAAACTTGGTGGATGAGCACAGAGCTGGGGGCCTGGGGTGACCAGCTCTTGGGACAGGCTAGCCCATGTGGCTCCAGGGAGGACTGCTGACTTCCCATATCTCATGCCAGGTGAGGTGGGGTTCCCTCACCCTCCTGTGTGCATGGTGGCAGGAATGGCTGGGTTTAGTGCGGGAGCAGTTGAGTGATGTATTCGCCTGAGGTGCCTGAAGTGGCAGGTGAAGGGGTAAGCAAGGCTGGGGGCTCCAGAGAGTACCTTGATGAACTCGTGGCTGTGCTGTTCCATGGGCTCCAGTTTCCACGAGAGATAGCCTGGGTATAGGGAAATGGCCACCAATGAGGCAGGAGACCTAAGCTCCAGGGGGGAGGGAGGGAAAAAAGAAAGAAGGGCAGGTGGTGGCAGGGGTGGGGGAGGGGAGCAGCAGGACCACTAGGCCAGCGCTGCTCCCATGTGGGTCTGTGCTGTGGCTGACCTCCTTGACTCAGTCCTGAGGACTGGGGACATGGGGAGGCAGAGGGGTGGCTGGGGAAGCAGACAGGCTGCAGCAGCCTACCCAGGAGGGAGTTTCCGCAGAGCATCTTGTCGAGGAAGCCATGGCTGGAGGCATGTACCATGATGCAGTGGGTCAGGATGCCCTGTGGGTCTGTGTATCGCCCTTTTTGCACCTCGATGGTCAGCTCTCCCTGCGGTTCCCCTGCGTCTGTGACCATGGCAAGGGTCTCCGAGAAGAGCAGCATCTGCAGTTCCTCCAGGCCTGGCAGGAGGAGGGGGTGTGTGAGGGGCCTTGGTGAGACAAGTTACTCCTCACTGCTCCAGGTTCCGCTCTGCAACTGCCGCACTCAGCCTGTCCCCACCAGCACCTGTAAGAGCGGGTGAGGACCTCTCCCCCGGTCCCTAATGTCCCCAGCTTATTCCGAGCTGGGGCTGGCCTGGGCTTTCTTTCTCCCCCCAGACCCCACCACCCAGCGCCCCCATTGCGCCCACCGAGAGAGTTGAGAAAATTGATGGCCTCTGCATTGGCCTGTGGCAGGGGCGCCACCTCCTGGTCGGGGGGCCTGTGTTCCTTGGTTTTGAGGCCTGTAGAGGAAAGACAGGTTGTTAGAAGCTCCTAAGAGGGATGGGAGGAGCACCCCTCTTCTGGCCCTTGCCCCCAAGACGATCCTGCTGCTCTGAGACGATCCTCAAGGTGGACTGTGAGAGGGGAGACCCTCCCGTTGGCAGGCCCAGCAAGCCCTCTTACCACCAGTGAAGTGAGCTTTGGAGGACATGCCTCCAGCGGCCACTAAGTCTGTGGCCAGCAGTCTCCACGGCAACCGCAAGCTAGCTACTGCCTCTTAAAGGGCCATCACCCCTTTCCCTACACGGGCTGAGAAGGAAGTTGACCTGCAGATGCTGGAACTCCCCGAAAGAATCCGAGATGCTGTCCAGCAGAGGGAGCCCTTTATTATGTGTAAGAGGCTTGGGGCAGAGTGGGACGTTAGCTTGTGTCTCACGGCCCCACAGACGCTGGCTCCAGTTAGATACCAGGTTTATCTTTGTAGGTGGTAGCCCAACACGGAAGGTTCCCAGTGTTCCACGGATGACTTAACATTTTTCCATTTCACAACGGTGTGAAAGTGATGTGCATTCACTGGAAGTCAGCTTCATGATCACACTTTGTGATGTTACTGAGCTGTGGTGTTCACTTGGTTGGGTATATCTGGTGCATTCTTAACTTGTGATATTTCCAGTGATGGTGAGCTTGCCGGAGGATAAGACCCCGTGATAAATTGAGGAACAGTGTGTGTTTAATGATAACGATAACAATGTTTTTATAAAACACAGACTTAAAATTACTTTGAAAGGCAGAGAATGACAATGAGTTCTCATCTGTTGATTTACTCCCTAAATGCCCGCAATAGCTGGAGCCTAAGCTGACGCCAGGAGCCTGGAACTCCTTCTAGATCTCCCAAACAGGTGACAGGGAGCCAAGTACTTGAACCATCAACACTGCCTCCCAGGGCACAGGTTAGCAGGGAGTTGGAGTCAGGAGATGGAGCTAAGGATCTAACCAGGTCTCATGACGTAGGATGTGGGCGTGTCCAAGTGGTGGCTTCAACCCTGGGCCAGAGTGTACCCCAAGTACTCCATGGGCCAGGAAACTGAGACACAGAGAGGTGAAGTGGCTCCCCAAGGGCACATAACTAATGATGGGCTCAGCTAAGACCCACGCCAAGGGCAGAGCCTGGAGAGCTGAGAGGACAGGGACAGGGATAAATAAATGACACCTGGAGGCCAGCAAGTGACTAGATACAAGGACAGAGAGGGGACAAACCCCAAGCTGTGGCCGTCTCAGCCCTTTCTGTAAGTGTTAAGGTGGTCATGACAAAGTGACCATAAAACGCCCAGGAGTTGCAGAGTCACAAGCAAAGAATTAGCATGAAGCCAAGGGATCCCCGACCCAGTCCTGCCCACGCATACCACTTGGAAAGGTAACCTTTAAATGGCTTTCATAGATAATCATCTTTCACTTTTAAAAAGACTAACTTTTCAAAAAATTTTTAATGTTCTCCTTCTACTTCAACAATCCCAGTAAGATTCTAAATTGAAAATTGGCAAGTATAAATCAATTATCAAATGTTGATATTTTTAAAAGATTTATTTATTTTTATTGCGAAGTCAGGTATATAGAGAGGAGGAGAGACAGCGAGGAAGATCTTCCGCCTAATGGTTCACTCCCCAAGTGATCGCAATGGCCGGAGCTGAGCCAATCTGAAGCCACGAGCCAGGAACCTCTTTCCAGGTCTCCCATGCAGGTGCAGGGTCCCAAGGCTTTGGGCTGTCGACACTCAGCTGCTTTCCCAGGCCACAAGCAGGGAACTGGATGGGAAGCGGGGCTGCCAGGATTAGAACTGGTGTTCATATGGGATCCCAGCACATTCAAGGCAAGGACTTTAGCCACTAGGCCACCACGCAGGGCCCCAAACTGCTCATCTTAAATAAGAATCTTAGGGCTTATCTTCTTCTTTTTTTTAAGATTTATTTTATTTTTATTGGAAAGGCGAATATACAGAGAGGAGAGACAGAGAGGAAGATCTTCCGTCCGATGATTCACTCCCCAAGTGAGCACAATGGCCCAATGCTATGCCGATCCGAAGCCAGGAGCCTCTTCTGGGTCTCCCACGCGGGTGCAGGGTCCCAAAGCTTTGGGCCGTCCTCGACTGCTTTCCTGGGGCCACAGGCAGGGAACTAGATGGGAAGTGGGGCCGCTGGGATTAGAACCGGCGCCCATATGGGATCCCGGGCATGCAAGGCGAGGACCTTAACCACTGCGCCACCGCTCCGGGCCCAGGGCTTATCTTCTAAGCACCCTAATATGCAGAACTATTTCAAGCATTTTAAGAACTTGAAGTATCAAAAATGAACGTTTGGGGCCCGGAGAAATAGTCTAGTGGCTAAAGTCCTCACTTTGCATCTGGCACCAGTTCATATCCTGGCAGCTTTACTTCCCTTCTAGCTCCATGCTTGTGGCCTGCGAAGGCAGTAGAGGATGGCCCAAGACCTTGGGACTCTTAACCTGCATGGGATACTTGGATGAAGCTCCTGGCTCCTAGTTTTGGATCGGCTCACCTCTGGCTGTTGCATCCACTTAGGGAGTGAACCAGCAGGTGAAGATCTTTCTCTCTGTCTCTCATTCTCTCTGTAAATCTAACTTTCCAATAAAAATAAATAAGTTTTTTAAAAAAACTGTGGCACACACACGAAAGTACTTGGACTCTTTAATTGGTCTACTTGCTTTTTCTAATTATAAGTATTCTTTTTATATTCTTTATTATTATTATTATTGACAAAGCAGATATACAGAGAGAAAGAGAGGCAGAAAGATCTTCTGTCTGCTGGTTCACTCCCCAAGCAGCCACAATGGCCGGCCAGAGATGAACCAATCTGAAACCAGGAGCCAAGAGCTTCTTCCAGGTCTCCCATAAGGATGCAAATTCCCAAAGCTTTGGGTCATCCTCCACCACTCTCCCTGGCCACAAGCAGACAGCTGGAAAGGAATCGGAGCAGCCAGGACACAACCGGGCACCCACATGGGATCCTGGCAGATGCAAGGCGAGAATTTAACCACTAGGCTGTCGTGCTGGGTCCAGTATTTGGACTCTGTAAGTGCTGTCACATGTTATTCACACATCCACTTTGCGACCAGGATTCCTAAATTCCATATGGGACTTCCACATGGGATAGCGGGGACCAGGTGCTTGAGCCAGCCCATGCTCCCTTTTGAGGTGTGCATTAAAAGTGGAACTGGAATGCATATCAGGTGCTCTGAAATGGGCTGCTGGCATCTCACTTTTCTTCCAGAAACTGTCCTGAAACTGGTGTCTGGTCAGAGGCAAGATCTCTATTTGCACCCAGATGTTCAAGTCCTCTCTCATTCTGTCACTTGGTCTCACATTTGGCCTGAACCTGGGCTTTGAGGGCTATCAAGGTCAGATTCCCACCTGCTTTCAAAGGCTCCTACTTGGGGCAGGACTCACACACACACATACACAGTCACACACCCATGCTTATGGGGCTCTAACCTTTATTTCAATCACTTCTTCTTGCTCTGTTCTTCCCTGGAACACTTAAGATTGGCTACTTAGCCCTTCCCTCTTAAAAAAAAAAAGATTTTATTTGAAAAACAGAATTATGGAGAGGAGAGATAGGTCTTCCATACACTGGCCCAATCCCCAAATGGTAGCAGTGGCCAGGGTCCCAAGGCTTTTGGCCATCCTCTGTTGCTTTCCCAGGCCATGAGCAAGGAGCTGGATGGGAAGTGGGGGCAGCCAGGACTCCAACTGGTGGCCAATATGGGATGCTGTTGCTGCACGCAGAGGTTGAGGCTGATATAACACGGCACCATCCCCAGCCTTCCCCTCTTTATCCTTTTCTGCCTCACAGAGAGACAGCCTATGATCTGCACAGGGGCAGGGATGAAGAACTGCTTGCTGGTTACTTTTTAAACCACTTGTTTATTCAAACCCCTTCAAGGCCATGTGTTCTTTTCCTCCAGTGTAATTAATCGTAGCCCCAGAAACCTGACACAGAGCTTTCCAATGTGACTGAGTACCTTTTCTCATGTGACTCCTAATAAGCGGAATTGTTGGTGAAAGCTTATGATTTTGCTATCTTGTATCGTTTCTGGTTTCAGATCCATTTTTTAAAAATTTTTTTATAGATTTATTTGAAATTTGGAGTTACAGAGAGAAACTTCCATTCATTACTTCATTCCCCAAATTGGTCCAAATAGCTGGGGAATGGACCAGGCTGAAGCCAGGAGCTTCATCCGTATCTCCCATATAGGGGCGGCAGAGACCTGTAAGTACTTGGGGTGTCTACTGCTGCGCTCCCCTGGCCATCAGCAAGGGGCTGGACCAGAAGTGGGGCATACAGAATGTTAGTATCCCAGGTGAAGGCTTTCCGTGCTATGCCCATCTATACCCCTAGAACCACCTGCCTCCCGCCAAGGCATACTGCTTCTGCCTATCATGGTTTAATCAGTGGGAATACAAGTGTGGTCACATGATCCAAACTAGCCAAGCAGAGAGACCCATTTCCCCATCTCTTATGATTGCATCAGGGCTGAACACGTGACTCAAGCTGGAGCAATAGTTAACTCCTGGAACTCTTGGGCCCTCAGCTGGGTTGGATCAATGGTAGCTTCCATCATTCCAGTGCAGGGAGGAAGTCTGACCCAGAAGGCTGGTTCTCTTTGAAATCTGTGTTCAGTCAGGCCTGATGCCACCGCATCAGAATCCTGCACCTGACAATCTCATGAGAGGATCAGCTTTCCTTTGGACTTAAGCCACCTTTTCTTTTCCCTCCCAATTTGTATCTGTTTGTCAGAAAGTCAGAGACGGGGCAAACAGACCTTCCATCTGCTGGCTCATTCGCCATGTGCCTCCAACAGTCGAGTCCAGGCCAGTCTGATGCTAGCAGTCAGGAGCTCCATCTGGGTCTCCTGCCCAGTTGGAAAGGACCTAGTATGAGAGCTAGCTTAGATCTTTGGCCTGTCAGTGTGAGCATTAATAGAGGCCAGAACAGGAAATGGAGCTAGCTGGGCTGGGTCCTGGGCCAGGCCCAAGTCAGGAGTCACAAAGTCCATTTGGGTCAGGAACCCATGCACTTGAGCCATCATTCACTGCTCCCCAGGTACAGAAGCAGGGAGCTAGATGGGAAATGGCGTAGATGAGGACTCAAACAGGGCAGTGTGATATGAGTTGAGCTGTCCCACGGAGCAGCTGGACCTGCTGGACCACAATGCCCACTGCCCCCTGAAATGGTTCCGACTCACTTGGGAGTGAGGAAATGGAGATCACTGATGCCGACGGATGAAACAGGGTCAGTGCCCCCTGGCCTCTGAGGTCAGTGACACCTGTCATCCTGCAAGTACAGAACCTGCTGCCTGTTTGCTGGCTGCTGGGGTCAGTGCCAGCTCGGGCAGAGGCCCGGCTCAGGAGGCTGGAAGATGGCCAAGCGGGAGGCTCCTGAGGCCATGGGGCCCCCTTTCCCATGCCGGCAGCGAGCAGAGCCATCACACAGCACTCAGAGCCTCTCCAGTGTTGTGAGGAACACAGCCTGTCCTCGAGGCCCAGCCGCTGCTGATGTGCCTGCAAAGAAGCAGATGATGGCCCAAGTACCCATGTGGGAGACCCATGGATTTCCTGACTCCTGGCCACAGCCCAACACAGCCTAGAATGCAGGGCCAGAAGAGTCAAGACCTCTTTCTCTCTCTGTCACTCAGCCTTTCGAAAAAATATTTCTTCAAAGAAAGCAAAAAAAAAAAAAAAAATTATGGACTGCCATTGTGATGCAGTAAGTTAATCCACTTGCTGTGATACCAGCATCCCATATGAGCTGATTCAAGTCCTGGCTGATCCAGTTCTCTGCTAAAGTGCTTGGAAAAAAGGTGTAAGATAGGCCCTGCCACCCAAGTGAGAAGCCCTGGATGAAGCCTCTGGCTTTGGCCTGGTCCAGTCCTGGCCATTGTGGCCACTTGGGGAGTAAATCCTGGCTCTTGGGGAGATTTCCTGGCTCTTGGCTTCGGATCGGCGCAGCATCAGCTGTTGCAGTCACTTGGGGAGTGAATCATCGGACTGAAGATCTTCCTCTCTATTTCTCCTCCTCTCTATATACCTGCCTTTCCAATAAAAATAAATAAATCTTTTTAAAAAAATGTTGTAATCACTTTATGAACGAAAGTGTCACCTTGACCTTGAAGATAAATGGAAACAGAATTGAATTGTTAATGGTTAACTGGGAACAGTTGCCTAAGGCATGTACCTGCAGTCTTAACACTTTTTTCATTATTTATTTTTGCTTATTTAGATATGAGAATGCGAGAACAACCCCTATGTGCTGATTACCTGATCAGGGCTGGGCTTGGCAGTGCTGAAGTTACTTGAGCCACCCACTGCTGCCCCCCAGGGTGTGCATTTGCGGGAAGCTCTGCCAGGAACAGGAGCAGGGACCAAGCCCAGGTATGGCGAGATGGAATCCCATAGCTACTTGCTCAGTTAAGCCCCTCCCTAGCCCCATTTCCTTTCTGAGGTATTGAAGATGGGCTAATGACTACTGTGCTGTGCTGGCTACAAGCACCTGCCCAGAGCCAAGGGCACATCTGTGCCTCTTAAGTTTTGGAAAACATTGATATTTGCAAACTGTAAGCAGTGAATCAACAGCATACAAGGAATGCTCATATGTTTAGGACATGGTAGTTTATGACCAAAGCTTAGAAGTGGCAGTCATGCCAAGTTATAGAGCCTGGGACTGTGGCGGGCAAATGGCGAGAAAGTGTGTCATTTCCCCTCTTGACCCAACCAAGACAATCTGCCAAAGTGCTTACACCTGGGTTAAATCATTCATTCAACATTTATTGAGCGCCTACTGTGTGCCAGGCACCGTGCTAGGCGCAGAAATAACAGAGATGCATAAGATACAGTCCATGCCCTTAAGGATTCACAGTCTAGAAGGGGAGACAAACATGTAAACAAGTGAGATAGGTGTGACAACGTGGTTAGGACAGAAGCATTTACAAAGTGCAAGAGGTAGCCTAGAGGGGAGGGGCATGGGGCTTGCCTTCCCGGAGCAGGGGGTCTTGGAGGGGCGTGTGTGAGATGTAGAGGTGTTTGCCAGGCATACAAGGCCGAAGGAACAAGGAAGGGCATGCCGGTGTGAGGAACAGTGGCAGCGAAGGCACGGAGGCGGGGGTTCTTACTACGTCTGGTGGTATTGCTAGAGTGCGCACCAGGGGCTGTGGCTGGCGAGCCTGGTGGGGACCAGAAAACAAAGGGAGCCCAAGGGTGGGGTGCATCTTGGAAGGGCCCCTAGAGGTAAGCAGAGCCGAGGGCAGCCTGGGGCCCTGGGAAGGAAGGCTTCCCACTGACCCTCCTCCATGCCTGCCTGAGGAGCTAACATAGGGGTCCTCACCATGTCCTGAGGGCCCAGGACCCCAGAACAGGGGAGCTGCTGAGCTGGAGGAAGGGAGAGCAGTGTGGGAGGGGGGAGTCCAGGCACTCAGGGAACCCCCGCTCCTAGACTGCCCATGTCTGTCTCCAAGCCCCTGCTCCCAGCCAGCCAGCCCACCCCTGGAAACTCACAGGGGTCTATTCTTGGCACAGTGCAAAGGGCCAGCTGAGCATCAGGGCTGAAAAAAAAAATTATTAGCTCAGAGGGCCACGCAGCTGGGGAGGGCGCCAGTGCCATCAAGGGAAATAGGCAGAAGCTCCTATGGCCAAGGTCAAGGTGAAGAGCTGCAGCAGCCTTGGCCCTCCAAGGCCCTCTCCATCACCCAAGGAAGGAGGAGGGCAGGGGCAGAGACCAAGCAGTAGGACTGGGCCAGGCGTGCAGGGAGAGCGTCTGGCGGCTCCGTGAAGCCCAGGTGGGCAGAGGCTGCATCAGCAAGCAGGAGTACCCGCCCCAGGCTGCAGGGGGGCTGCCCAGACGGCAATGGGCTAGGCAGCCAGACCTGCTGCCAGCCATCTCGTCTGGCTGTTCCCAGGAATGACTCTATCTGAGAAATGCTTTGGCAGGCAGGGTGGAACAGGGTCTGGGGAACACCACACCTGGCCATGGAGTGGGAGGGGACTAAGTTTCTTCCCTGACCCTGGCTGCTAAGGCCTCCAAGTCCTGGAAGTGAGGGGGGAGCATGGGAGGGGCCCCTCCCTGCTGGCAGGGTCCCTTCTTTCTGTCTCCCCTTTGATGACTAAGCCACCTCACTTTATGGGGTCTCCAAGCCTTTAATCTCATCCCAGTCACTCTCATGGCCCTGGTCATGAGGGGAGCCCATTGTGGGGGTGAAGTCAGCTGTGAGGGAGGGAAGGTGGAGGTGCAGGCCATGGGTGGCTCCCAGCGTGGGGTGGGGTGGGCTGGTATGGGGGGGTCAGGGGGTGGGCTGGGCTGTCACTTGCTCTTGTGCATGTCTTTCAGCCGGCGCAGCTCCTCCAGGAGCTGGGCTCGGGAGCAGCTGGTGTCGTCCCCAGTGGTACCAGGGCCAGGCCCCAGGGCCTCCTGCAGTGCCAGGCAGTGGGTCCGCAGGAACGGGTTGTAGGAACGTTCCTCTCCCAGGGTGGACGGGCACTGCAAGGCGACAGGCACTGGGTTAGAGGTGGGAAGAGATATACCCAGTGCCCACCCTGGGGTCTCAGCATGGGGCAGGTCAGTGGCCACGTAGCCAGCCGTGCCCTGAGCCCCAGCCCTCCCCCTACCCCCGCACCGTGCTCCTGCGCTCTAGCCGCTGCCTCTGCACCCACTGCAGCTTCTTCTCACGGGCCAAGTTCTCTGGCTCCACCACGCCGGCAAAACCCAGGTTCTCCTCAGCGTACTCGTGACCTAACACAGGACAATGGGAATGGGGAGAGGAGCTGACTGTGTAGCCAGAGAAAGTCCTCCTGGCTGTCCTGGTCCAGCACCTCCTGCCCCAGGGGCAGGACAGAGGAAAGCCACCAACTTCATGCCAGCTCACTTCGTCAGTGCCCAGTGTGTGGTTTGGGTTCAAGTCACAGCACCTGTATAAGCCCCGTCTCTCCTACAAAGCAGGTGCACGTGGCTCACATTGCTACATCCCCCGAACCTGCATTGGAGCCTGGTGCACAGTAAGATGTGCTGAGGATTCACCACGTGGAAGAGGTCCTGCCAGCTCCACGGCACCAGCTATAGGTGGTTGGTTTATGTTCTGGGCTCCAACTCCACAGTCAGATCCCTCTTCCTGTGAGCTGCAGGACCAAAGACAGGCCAGCAGGGGGCAGTGGCTGGCATGAGAACAGAGGTGCTATATACCTCAGGCTGCCCTCAGGGACTGGAGCCTGGACTCTATCCTTACCCCTAAAGGTGGGTCCCAGAAGTCACTAGGTGTGTCCTCCAGAGGCTGCCTGGTCTCCAGGGGAGTGAGGGACCAGGCAGGGGGCTCACCAGGCCACAGCAGGGTGTCGTCCTCCAGGCCCAGCACAGTGTCCAGCGAGCTCAGCATGGTCTCCGCGGTTCCCTCAAACGTCCGTCCTGGGGTGGAGTGTGAGGACAGGTACAGAGTATGTGGGCACAGGGCTGTCTGCCAACTTGCCAGCTCGAGGCCTCTGCCATGTCCTCCGTCCCAGTGGGAGCTGGACCCAATTGGAGCCAAGGCCATATGAGGCTCCACAGCACACAGGTGGGGCTGAGCTCCCCACTCTGTGCATACTCTGGGAGTTGTTGGTCCAGGATCCTTCTGCAGCCCCAAGGGCACTCCTGAGGATGTAAGGCTACCCCACTCCCACCCCGCATAGGGTGACAACAGATGGCAGCAGCCGCAGGCACTCACCACAGCCAGACAGGAAGAGCAGGTCTCCTGAAAAGAGGCATGAGGGACCTTTGTAGGGCTCCCCATCCAGCAGGTAGACCAGATGGCCTTGGGTGTGGCCTGGGGTGGCCAGGGCCTGGATCTGCAGCCGCCCCACGCTGACCACATCTTGATGACACAGGGGACTATGGAGCAAGGCAACAGTAGAGAAGGTGCTAGAATGTGTACGCCTGCTGTTCCCTGCTCCTACCTTGGCCTTGGGGCTGGGTGAGTCACAGTCTAGAGCCGAGGGTCTCAGGCACAGATCCTCCCCCTGGCTCTTTTGAGGGAGGACCAAGTGGGGCCTGGCAGTGCCAGTCTCCACCTGGGCTCAAACCCTCTCTAAAATGCCACAAGTGCGTCAACACAGGCCCAAACGCTGTGGGTGAGGGGCAGGATACTCACTGGGTGAGGTAGGGAATGCCGTCCTCGGGGCTCCCATACACACGACAGTCCCGATGCCATCGGCTAAGGTCACGATTCCCTCCACTGTGGTCCCTGTGGGTTAGTGAAGACTAGCAGGTGGCTTGCAGCGTCTCTGCCCAGGGGCCCCTCTCCCTCTGGCCCATGGCATGTCTAGGCCTTGCACCCAGGGGCCTCAGGACTGGGTGAAGTTACCCACACCATCCTGTCGACATCCTCTGCATGACCAATGCCATCTCTCTGCTCCAGGGCCATCACCCTTGAGTCCCTCCCAAAACTGATCTGGGGTTCCTGACCCTGCTGCATGTCACTGCCATCTCTCTGTTAGCCATTCTTAGACACACCCATCCATGCAGGGACCAGCTCCTGGACCAGCTGCATCCATGCCTTGTGCACAGTTGACATTTCATTAGCACCCAAGGGACGAAATGATAAACGACCAACCTGCCTTTGTCCAGGGCCTGAGAAGTGGTGTGGTGTGGCAGGAGACCTGCCCATCCTACTTCCTGACACCAGCTCTGGGCCTAGCCAGATAAAGGGTGGCCCAGAGAGGTGGTTTTCTGCACCCAGACCCCCCTCAGAGCCCCTTACCAATGCTTGTGGGTGCAGAGAATGGCGACCAAGGTGACACCCTCCTTCTCAATGGAAGCCTAGGAAAGAGAGACACACTGAGATAAGCTGGGTATTTAGCTGGAAAGGAGAGGAGACAGCGGGCAGGCAAGCCCTGGGAGTCCAGTACAGGGAGGGGGAGCAGGTGGGTCCTGGGAAACCGGGCAAGCAAGAGGAGGAAAGCAGAGGGGAAGGATCACTCCCAGAGAAGTAAGGAATGGGAGGGAAACACAGAGAGATGCCATCTTGCAATGCACTGCCCTCTGGTCCCTCCCCCTACACTTGCCTGCCCCTTCATGCAGTCATACCCTGGACAACCCTTCCCTGTGCATGCATGCCAAAGAGGGGGAGAGAGAGCATGTGTATGTGTGTGTGTGAGCTGAGCATATATGCACACAAGATGGGGGCACATTTTGTGGGCCAGGTAATCCCCTCTCCAGCAAGGAGAGGCTGCCACCCCCAGGCAGGACCATGGCCTTACCACTACCCTCACCTGCACGGCGCGAGGGTCTGAAGGGTCCACAGCCACAGCCAGCCGGGCCTGGGTGTCGATGATGAGGTAGCTGTAGTTGTCCGACAGGACGGGGATGGGAAGTACCTTCACTCCTGAGGGCAGACATGGGCTGGGTGCCCAGTCGGCGGGCTAAGGAGGGGGAGTGGAAGGGAGGGCAGGGGTGCGGGATGCTGGCCAGGGGCGGCTGGAGCTCACCGTTGAAGAGGCGGGGCTGCGTTTTCGAGTGGCCTTTCGGGTATCGGTTCCGAGCCCTGCGTAGCTGCTGCCGGTAAAAGAGGTACCCGAGCCAGGTGCGGGTGTACAGGCTGTACCTGGAGGGTGACAGTCTGTGGTCAGCGCCTCCCCTGGGTCCCTCTATGCTGTCTGCAGGGGGCGCCACATCTCCATCTCTTGGCCATCCCCAGTCAATGCAAGTCCACCACCACTTAGTTCTGCCTGCTGTTTGCCCTGCTCAGTACTTTGGGATAAGGAGAAAGAATGAGACAAACACACGTGGAGTTCCAAGTTGGCCAGGGGAGATGTGAACTGAATAATTTGCACAAGGGGATTCATGGAGGGAGGGGTTTAATCTAGCCAGGTGCTAGGCTCCTGAGAGCCTTTATGGGGAATGGGGGCAGAAGGCAGGAGGCTGGCATGAGAGAGGGAAAATACTTCAAGGAGAGTAGAGGGGTCAGCACTGTGGCACTGCACTTTTAAGCCACCACTCGCCATGCCAGCATCTTATATAACAGCATTGGTTTGAGTTCTGGCTGCTCTACTTCCAATCCAGCTCCCTGCTAATGCAAGTAGAAAGCAGTAGAGGATGGCCCCTGCACCCATCGGGGAGGCCTGGATGGAATTCCTGGCTCCTGGCTTTGGCTTAGGCCATTGCAGCCATTTGAGGATTGCACTAGCAGATGGAAGATTCTCTCTCCAACTCTTTCTTTCTCTGTGCCACATGACCTTTCAAATCAAACAAATCCTAAAGACAAGAAGGGCAGTGATGGCTGCAGGTTCACCTGCACCACAGGGACTAGATAAGGAGCAGATATCTGGTCCCATCCCCAGAGTGCCTGCAAGGTCTGGACAGGGCCTGGGAACTGACACTTCTAAGAAATTCAGTGTGCTGCAGTGCTGACTCGCCCCTGCGACAGGAAGCGTCAGGCTGGGGTTCAGACATGGCAGACAACAGGCCTTGTTTGGGAAAACCAGCAAGTTCTATCCAGCAGCTTGGCAGAGGGAACATGAGAGGCGAGGGTGGATGGGCTGACGTCATCCTGGGCCACCTCAGGCCACCCGGCATTAAGGGAGCACTCAAGCAGGGGACAACAAGGATGCCATATGACAGAGCTGGTTGTGCAGGGGTGTAGTTCCTCCTGGGCTCCCCACTCTGCCATCGCCACCAGGAACTCGGTGTGAATTCCTCTGTGGACGTGTGCTTTGCAAGTGGAACCTGACAGGATGCTAGCGCACCCGCGTGGGCAGGGATCTGCATGCCGAGCGTGTTCTGTCCCTTGCTGCCTACACACGCACAGCGTTTGAGATTCCCAGTGAGCACAGAACTCTGGGGGACCTCCTCACCCCATGCATGGGGATCCAATAAGACTCCACGTGAGTGCAAGGCAGGCACACATCTGTGATAGGAGGGGATGGACCCAGCTTCCCAACTAAAATCTCCAACCAGTTCCAGTTGGAATTTGTTAAGCTGCTGCTTGGGCCACCCGCACCCCACACTGGAGGGCTGGATCTTTTCTTTTTTTTTCTTTCCCTCATCCCCTTAAGATTTCATTCATTTGAAAAGCAAAGAGACGGAGAGAGAGGGAGAGACAAAGAGGTCCTGTTGCTTCACTCCCCAAATAGCTAACAGCTGGCTGGGCCAGGCTTCCAGAATTCCATCCGAGTCATCCCTGTGGACAGGTGGCAGGGGTGTAAGGACTTTGAGCAACCCCCACTGCCTCTCCAGGAGCATGGCAGGGAGCTGGATTGGACAGGGAACAGCCGGGACTCAAATCAGGGAGTGCTGTGATACAGCATGCCCCACAGAGCAAGGGGCTTACCCCACTGCACAAGCTGTCCCCTAAGGGCTGGTTCCATTCCTAGCTCCATTGTTTGCAACCCAGCTTCCTGCTAATGAGCATCCTGGGAAGTAGCAGGAGATGGCTCATGCACATGGGTCCTTGCCACTCCTGTGGGAGGCCTGGATTGAGTTCTAAGCTCTTGGCTTCAGCACAGCCCAACCTTGGCTGTTGCAGGCTTTTGGGGAGTGAACCAACAGGATATTTCTTGCTGCCTTCCTTTCTCTGTATTTCTGCCTTTCAAATACAACTAAAATAAATAAAAATACTGACTTGTCTGGGGCATCACTGTCCTACAGGAACACAACTTACAGCCATGTGCAAGCTGAGAAACATGAATTAGACCACTTCAGTGAGTCACTCTTGAGTCAAGTGTTTTTACATCTTGCATTTAAAACTGGCATTGCACAATAGGAACATGACTAGTAAAATTCCTGCTAGTAATTTAAAATTTTAATTTCTCTATACTTACAGTGACATTAAGTAGTGCCTTAAAAACATCATGACAAGCCTGGATTGGGAGGAGAGAGAGCTCAGCAGCTGACAGGAGCAGCCTCCTCCTCCTCCTTCAGTGGCTTTCACAGCATCTTGAACAACACAGGACCCCATACTACATGTTACACTGGGCCCCGTGCATCAGCACACTTGGGGGAGGGACAGTCAGGGTTTAGGATTAGAGACAGGATTTGCTGGGTGGCTGTTGGGGTGACAGGGGCTGGGGAGGGGGGAGCCGGGACCTCCTCCCTCCAGGCCCTGGAAACAGTTTGAGCATAAAACCAGGCAGGCTGCCAGGATGGCAATTTGGTGGAAGTGAGCCAGATAATGTTAAACATCTCCTCTCCACCCCCTGTGACTTGGGCTTGCTGGGGACCCTGCCCTCCTTAACATGCCTCGTGCTCCACTTTGACTGTTAAGTCTGTTTCTGCCAGTTCACGCTTTCACTTCAACAACACGGGTTTACTGAGCTGTCACTCATGGCCAGGCCCTGTGAACAAGGTTGTGTCTCCATATCCCTCTCTCCCAGCTTTATTCTAGAGGGAGGGACGGGAACGACAAGACACTTGGCCAGTGGAAACTGGGCAGACAAGAACTGGGCAAAGGGCTGGCCGTTGGCTACAGGGCTGTACTTGGCATCTATTTGCTTATTTTAAATGAACACACTTCTTTTATTTGACAGGTGGGGAGACCTCCCATCTGCTGGTGCCCCATGGGAGTTGGCACTCAATCCAGGCCTCCCACATAGGTGGCAGAGAGGCCCAAGCACTTGGACCTCCATCAACTGCTGCCTCTAGGCTGTGCATTAGCAGGAAGCTGCAACGGGAACTCAAACCCAGACCCTGCCACATGGGATGCAGACTTCCCAAGCAGAGTGCAGGCCACCCTGAGGAAATGACATCTGCAAGAAGCAAGTGGCAGACTGTGTCAGACTGCGGCAAAGGCGACCTAAGCTGGAGGAACGAAGGGGAAGTGCAACCCTCTGCCTCCCCTGTGGGACAGCGGGTGCAGGCTCAGTCCCTGCGCTGGCTGGCTGGCGTGGCGATGGCAGAAGGCTGGCACAGCCAACAAGAGCTGACTGGCTGGAGCCTAAGGCTCATAAACAGACTGCACAAAGCAACCACATGAGATTTCCAAAAGTACAGACTTCTTTTTGTCCAATTGGGGAAATGAGAAAATATTTGTATTCATGTATAAGGGGAAGATGCTGGAAAAAACACTGAGTTGTTGGGAGCTCTTGGCTCAGGGTGGTGAAAACACCAGTGGATCGCTAACGGCCCTTCTGCATGTCTGCATCTCCTAGGCATCGGACAGTAAATGTGCAGTGACTTTGGAGAGAGAGAGAGAAAACACAAACTGAGGTTCAGGAACAAGATTATAAGCTCAAGTGATGAAATAAAACCCCAGTGGGGAAGGCCTAGGTTGTTTTTACACACACACACACACACACACACACACACACACACACACACATTCCATCAGCAGTATAAAAATTGTTGGTTGAGGGTCACCGTGGTGGCTTATCAAGCTAATCCTCCTTCTGTAGTGCCAACATTGTAAGGATGCCTGTTCAAGTCCTAGCTGTTCCACTTCTGATCCAGTAAGCTGCTTATGACCTGTGAAGCAGCAGAGAGTGGCTCAAGTGCTTGGGCTCCTGCACCTAGTGCGGACCTCAAAGCTCCTGCTTTGGACCAGCCCAGCTCTGGCTGTTGTATCCCTTTGGGGCGTGGACCAGTAGATGGAAGATTTCTCTCTCTGTCTCTCACTCTCTCTTGTAACTTTTTCAATTTAAATAAATAAATTGTCATGAAAAGATTGTTGATTAAAGGGGATATGGCAGGTTTAGCTGCCATTTGGGACACACACATCCCCATCGGAGTGTCTTTGCTTTCAATCCAGTTCCTGTCTAATGCATCTGGAAAGCTGCAGATCACAGCCCACAGCTGGTTCCTGCCGCCCACATGGGAGACCCAGGCGGAGTTCCTGGTTCTCAGCTTTGGCCTAGCCCATCCCTGACTACTGTGCACAGCTGGGGTTTGACCAATCTCTTTCACTCTGTTACTCTTCAAATAAATACACCTTTACAAAGGAAAAAAAGAAATACAAACACAAACAGGATTGGGGGGACACATTTAAAATAAATGCAAGGGGCAGGCACGTGGCACAGTGGATTAAGCCAGTGCTTATGATGCCCACATTCTATCACAAATGCTGGTTCGAATCCCACGTATTTTACCTCTGGCCCAGCTCTCTGCTAATGCAGCAGAGGATGGCTCAAGTGCCTGGGTTCCCGTCACCCTTGTGAGAAACCTCACGGAGTTCCTGGTCCCTAGTTTCAGACCTGGTCCTTTGTAGCCATCTGGAAAAATGAACCTGCAGATGGAATATTTGTCTCTCTCTGTCTCTATTCCTCTACCTTTCAAAAAAATAAATCTTGTTTTTAAAGAAAACAAAACCTGAAAGTAGCCATATTTGTATCAAGACACAAAAAGGTTGTGAAACTGCTCCAAGGCGCACTCCCAAGGCCTTGGCTCACTTCAGAGGACTCCTGCTGAGGGCAGACAGGTTGGCAGAGCCAGGTGTCAGACCTGACCCCAGCTCCCTGGGGAGCTGTCTGCCTCCTTCAATCCCTCAGCCAAGTACCCATCAAGCTATGCAGAGACTGGAGCTATAGGGACCATGAGACCCAGTGACTGCCCCCTCCCCCACACACATCCCCCATCCTCCTGGCAGGCAGCTTGTAAAGGCACCTTAGCTAAGAC